TATTGCAGCTCATCTACGTAAGGCAAAACGACTACATTAGAGGAAGAAAAAGGTTCTTTGATATTATTATTATTAGCATTGTTATTTAATAAAAATTGGTAATGTAAATTAATATATTTATTAAAAAGGTTACAGGGTAATTATTTTCAATTAGGATATCGTGAACAAATTTCAAATTATCATTAAAAAATTTCTTATCAGATAATTTAATGGCTCTGTCCACCAAGCCATAAACAATGGAAATTTTATCTTTAACAGAAACATTAGAATTGTAGTTTAAATATCTACCAGTAAAAGTATCTTTGTGATACCAATCAGTCATGATAGAGTTGCTCCCTCTTATTAGAAGGGTGTCCAAAAAACTAATGCGACCATTATTTTCAATTTCAATGGTAAACTGTATATTATTATTGTAGCCATTGAAGGCATCAAGAAGACAATTAACGTTATCCTTGTGGATACATGTAATAACATCATCCACATACCTAAAATAAAAAATACATTCAAAATCCAATTTCTTAAGAACATCCGATTCAAGTTTCTCCATCACTAAGTCAGCTATGGTGCCAGATAATGGAGAACCCATCGGAGTACCAAAAATCTGTTTATAAAATTTACCATTGAATGAACAATACGCACTATCAATACAAAATTCTAAAATGTCTAAAAATATATTGTCGGGAATATCTGTGTACTGCCTGATTTCTCTCCATTTTAATTTTGTGCATTTCAAAACTAATTCTTTAGGAACGTTTGTAAAAAGTGATTTAACATCAAGTGAGACCAAAATGAAGTCGTTAGGAATATGAAAATCTTTAATTTTATTTATAAACTCAAAACTATTTTTTACATGAAACTCTGAATTTCTAATAATTTTCTTAATGGGCGTACTAATGAATTGTGACAAATTGTAAGTTGGTGATCCACAAAAAGAAGTGACTGGTCTCATTGGAACCTGTGATTTATGAATTTTTGGCAGACCGTAAAATTTAGGAGCTACCGAATTATAAGATTTAAGATGCTTCGACATTGGACAATTTATATAGGAATTCTTGAGAAGCAAATCAACTTTGGCATTCATTCGTCTTTGTATAATTTGAGTAGGATCTTTGTTTACTTGTTTATAAATATTACCATCATTTAAGAGGGTTAAACATTTATCTACATATTCATCCTTATCCAAAACAACAGTGACATTACCTTTGTCGGCTTTACAAACTACTATGTTTTTATTTTCTTTAAGAAATTGTCTAGTTTTATTACCAATAGTATTATATATAGAATTGTTAAAAATATTATGATTATTGTTTAAATAATTTTGTAAAGCACCTGTTAACTTGCTTCTAAAAACATCCCTTTTATTATCCGGGATGAGATTAATTCTCTCCTCAGTCATGGTCAGAGCGTCCTCAACGACAGCAGATTTATCCGACGGATTAATATAAAATTTATCCCCCAGACTTAAAAAGTATGAAACATCTTGTGGAATGGTCACACTTGATAAGTTTCTAATCCATTTCGGATTTGGTTTTTTATTAAAATGAAAATTGTAATATTTCTTATTTAACCAATCAAATTTCGAAATACCCTTGTCAATAAGCTTCTTTTCATAACCATCCAAAAAATTTTCTTGGCAGGTAAAAAAATAATGACACATTTGTTTGTCACTAATCAACAAAGATATTTCACTCTTTAAATTAACCAAGAAGGATTGCAAATTTGATATAGAAATATTTGTATCATTAATTTCAAAATTAAGAGCACTAATTTTATAGTTAAAAGTTACTTCATTAAATTGCTTTTTTATCGAAAAATTGTTAAAAGAAAAATTAGTATTTAAATTAATTAAATGAGAAGGAAGAAACCCACTTGACTTACAACGTAGTAAGAACCGATTTTTATTTCTTAGTCTCCTCAGACGTTTCTGCTCTTTAATCCATCTTTTCATCAGAATGACAGGTGTTATGCCAAAACGCGTTCTGATATTTCCAAAAAATCCATCACGATGACAACCGTCCATTATGTGGAGTATAGATAGTAATGGGAAATTAGAGAAGTCCACGTTGAAAGTAAAGGTAAATTCCAAGTCAGGCCAAAACTTTTTTTGGTATAACCTCCAAAAATCGCTAAGTCCTCCAAATATTATAAAGTCCTCATAAATAAAATGTGAAATCAATTTTCATAATTTCCATCATCTTAAATCTTATAATTCGGTAGCTCCTAAATTTTACGGTCTGCCAAAAATTCATAAATCACAGGTTCCAATGAGACCAGTCACTTCTTTTTGTGGATCACCAACTTACAATTTGTCACAATTCATTAGTACGCCCATTAAGAAAATTATTAGAAATTCAGAGTTTCATGTAAAAAATAGTTTTGAGTTTATAAATAAAATTAAAGATTTTCATATTCCTAACGACTTCATTTTGGTCTCACTTGATGTTAAATCACTTTTTACAAACGTTCCTAAAGAATTAGTTTTGAAATGCACAAAATTAAAATGAAGAGAAATCAGGCAGTACACAGATATTCCCGACAATATATTTTTAGACATTTTAGAATTTTGTATTGATAGTGCGTATTGTTCATTCAATGGTAAATTTTATAAACAGATTTTTGGTACTCCGATGGGTTCTCCATTATCTGGCACCATAGCTGACTTAGTGATGGAGAAACTTGAATCGGATGTTCTTAAGAAATTGGATTTTGAATGTATTTTTTATTTTAGGTATGTGGATGATGTTATTACATGTATCCACAAGGATAACGTTAATTGTCTTCTTGATGCCTTCAATGGCTATAATAATAATATACAGTTTACCATTGAAATTAAAAATAATGGTCTCATTAGTTTTTTGGACACCCTTCTAATAAGAGGGAGCAACTCTATCATGACTGATTGGTATAACAAAGATACTTTTTCTGGTAGATATTTAAACTACAATTCTAATGTTTCTGTTAAAGATAAAATTTCCATTGTTTATGGCTTGGTGGACAGAGCCATTAAATTATCTGATAAGAAATTTTTTAATGATAATTTGAAATTTGTTCACGATATCCTAATTGAAAATAATTACCCTGTAACCTTTTTAAATAAATATATTAATTTACGTTACTAATTTTTATTAAATAACAATGCTAATAATAATAATATCAAAGAACCTTTTTCTTCCTCTAATGTAGTCGTTTTGCCTTACGTAAATGAGCTGCAATATTTTTTTAAAAATTTATTTAATGAGTACAATGTTGGTGTCGTTTTCTCTTATGATAAGGATCCGTTTAAAATTTTTTCAAAAAATAAAGACCCTACTTCTTTTGATTTAAAATCGCATTTGGTTTATTGTGTACCTTGCCAATGTGGAGCTTGCTACATTGGTGAGACTGGTAGATATATTAAAGACAGACTAAGTGAACATAGGAGGGATTGTGGAAATGATAGTAGAAAAACAGCTTTGGTCACTCATGCACATGAGAATGACCATCTATTTAATTTCGAAGCAACAAACATCATATGTAACGAACGAAATTACAGACGAAGGAAATTTAGAGAGATGTTTCACATTCTCAAGTCCGAAAACTCTGTTAATAAACAGACTGATTTAAATAATTTCAATCAGTTTTATCATTCGTTAATTCTCAGTACTAATTAACTAATATATTTATTTTGTATTAAAAATTTTCTTAGATTACTGCTTATTTGAAAATTGAATTTACCTACTGTATGGGTTTCTTCCTTACCATATATAGAGGTACTTTTCAGTTTCACTTACTATCACTGTAATTCACCAATATATTTGAACTAGTTAAACAAGAGGGATCAAGCATGCGAACACATGTTTTTTCTTTCCTCTTCTTTTTCCGTTTGTAAATTTTTTTTTTTTTATTATTATTAACAACATGTTTTATTTTAAATTTGTCCTTGTTGACAAATTAAGATGTGTTTTTTTGAATTATATTTTTAGTAAATTTCCGGGAAGAAACCTTCTTTGTAAGTTATAGGTTATGTTATAGGTTATGTTCTTCTAGATATTTTTTAATATATTTCTTTCATTAATAATTGTATGTAATTTCAGTTTAAAATTATCTGAGGATGCCTGTCGTCGACGGGCGAAAGCTAATAAATAATTATAAAATTATATGAATGGATTTTTTCAAAAAAACAAAATAAGATCTCACTAAAATTACAAATCCAAACAAAATAACATCGTAATATAATAATTAATTAATTATAGTTTTCTTGCTTTGAGGAATTTCACAAATTTGTCGTCGTTAGTTTTTAATCAGATTGCACTACAGTTGGCAATACGTTGCGCGCGCATCCAAGTGGCATTGGCACTGGCACTTGCACATACATTGGCACCTATTGGAGACTCACCTTAATAGATGCAAGTCACTGAGTTGGATACACGGCACATGGAACAGCGTTCCGCTTTTGAGACTAAGGGCAAAAACTAGCGCCTAATTTGAAACGCGTGTTTTATTAATAATTAAAATTGACAAACAATATATATAATCAGATTTAATAAAAAACTAGACGTATAAATCTTTTAGAAACTGAAAATATCAATGTAAATAAGATAAAATTGATATAGAACAAAAATAAAATATGTCATCCTTTCATCTTGCACTTTCGTCCCTCGCATCTATAGAATTCAAGAATATCAACATAGTAATATTAAAAAAAATTTTATAATTAATAAGTATCATACTATTCTAAATAAACATAAGGTATCAATTTAATCATATTTTTGGTAAAATTAGAAATTTTTTTCAGATTTATTTGATTTCAAATTATGTTAATAATGTAAATTTTAAAAAATTGTTCCGATATTGGTACACTGTTTTGCTATAGGTACTTATAGAATATATAGGTACCTTATAGAACTTTTTTGACTGGGTACTCCCGGTAATATCTCGGTATAATTCCCGGGAACTTTTTCAAATGGGCAAGTAACTATTATAACTTATATATGTATGAATATTAAAAAATATTTACTAACTTTGTGCTGTGCGAAAGTCTGCGAAATTCCAAATAAATTCACCAATGAAGAAACCTTTTGCTCGTAATTTATCAAAAGCTTTAAAGTGTTTAGAGAAGACTTCTACTTGATATTCTTCACTCCACACATACGTTGGTAACTGTTTAACAAAAAATGACTATCTTTAAAAAGTTTAATCTTGTAACAAAATTTTATTTTGAAATTATTTTATATGAATAACGAAAATTATAATTTAATGCAAATACTCTAATTTTTATATTTATTTCACATTTTATAAATTTTAAATCAGCTTCTCTTAACATTAATGCATAATAATAAGTTAACCGCTAAAAGGAGATACTAAAGAAGATAAGTAATTATGGCCAGTTCATTAAAGAAGAATCTGAAACTTTTAATTGTGTTACTAGCCAAATTCTTTGAAACTAAAGTATATTTATTTAATTAAAAATTAATTCAAATATTATTATAATGAAGTCGAATTTGACTTAAGGGGTTATATACTAGAGTGTATCAAAAATCCAGTTTTTCGTGTTGTGGATGATGGGGGGTGCGAAAGAGTTGTAAAAGCATGTTAAATGAAAGTACAAAAAATTTCAGTCCAATCGGATACTATTTACTATCCCCGCAGCACCCTTGACATTTGAAAATTTTTATTAAAACATGCTACTTTGCATACTAGCTTTGCACGTCCAATAGAAGTCGGTATGATAATATTTGGGCTCGAGGGGTAATAAAATATGTTTCTATATACACCCTGATGCTTTAATGCTGGCCTTTCGGCTTCAACGGCGTTTTAACAACTTGTGACATATCTATCAAAATGTTGTTAGTTAGTGACATATAAGTTCGATCATACTTCATGAACTAACAACATTTTGATAGATATATCAAGACTTTTTAAAACACTGTCAAAACCGGAAGGAGAGCATTAAAGCATCGGGGTGTACCATGAAAGCGATAGGTCAAATCAAGATTTTCACTTGACGCGGCGACAAATTCTTTTTTTGTATTGAACTTCGGGATAATTTTTCTTGACCGGAGTGTAGACTTAATATCCTGTTGGCTGCAGTTAACCACCTTGAATGTGAAAGAGGGCCAGGATCTTGCCTCGCTAGGTCCTCAGAACACACTCCTGATTGAATGGCCATGGAAATGGCATACAGGTACTTCTGATCCTTACTCAGCTCTGCAACATCTACATCCGGCAAATCAACATTCAATTGTTTGAAGCGGCATACAGGAAGGTTGTTACATTTCTCTAGCTGTTTGCCTAATGTGCCACTAAAAGTGTTAGGACCACTAGTGGTACCATCAACAAACTGCATAAAGTGCCTCAAAAGCAACTCATTAAAATAAAGAAGACAAACAATCCATTGTAATGGATGTTTTAGATTCTCTTCGAGCAAACGAATTACACCACCTTTTTGTCCGGTGTTTACGTTAGTTCCATTGCAACCAACAGCAACAAGAAATTTCATTGCATAATTATTATCTAAAAAGTTAAGAATGCATTTTGAAATTTCAATTGCTGTGCCTGATGCTGGAGTAACGTGGCCAATATAACACGAGCCTGTCACTTGTACAAGTGAAATGTGTTCCTCCGTTTAAATGCGCCGGTAGTATTTTGCCTTTTCTTTAACTTGTACATTAGTTTTATCTTTACGGCCATCAAAGTAAATACCGCGAAGAGGGTTTTTACTAATAACATCAGCAGGAGACACATGACTACCACGTTTTGACTCTTTGAATTTTGGACTTGTCTATCACAAATGAGTTATCTGTACTGCTTTTTACTAATGAGACCAACATCAGTAAGAACCGCTGACGCTATTGCAGCTGTTTGTCTGAAATTCAAACCATATCTATCACTTACTAAAGCAGTATTAATCAGTGCAGATCTATTTTGTGATGTACCTGTGTTATTTTCCTTCATTTTGATTTTAAACTCCTCGTCCGACCTAGAGTCTATTTCACTTTCTATCTCTATTTCAGGGGCGGTAGATGGACCAGCATCACTAAAATCTGCTGATTTTGGTTGCAACACCACAGACTTTCTAAACTCTCTTTTTCTCAGAATTTCAGTAACTTTCTTATCGACTTGGCTTATAACCATCTGTCGCTTGGTCCGTTGGTCTAAGAGAAAGATTTTTTCAATTGCCGGAACTTTCTTGGACTTATCATTTCAAATGCCTGTTTTAAACCGCTACTGTCTTTCCTAGACTTATTCTGGTATGACTTAAGAAGGTTCTGGTGCTCTTTATGAAATGAGACAATTCTATTAGTGATTGTTTTTTTGGCTTGCAGCAGGTATTGACGCCTTTTCATACAGGCTCAAAACCTGAGTTGCAACAACCTTAACTACGTCCAGGAAAGGTGCTTTAAGAGAAAGATCCTTGACTTGAGTGTTAGAAAACATTTCGTCAAAACAGGCCAAAAGGACATCCTTCAACGTGGGCAGTTGACTCTCCGGCAAACTATTGGAGTGCCAAGTATAGGGCAAATAAAAGAAGACTGTGTGGGTCGCATTATGCTGGCTGGAAGCCACAGGCTACGATAAACTTTTTCCACTAGGTCTAGAAGAAATGTATTTTCTTTGTTTTCAATTACTTTTTAATTAAAAGGCTTAGTGTCAATGACAAACAGCCAGAATGTATTGTGTGTTGAGAATCTACGATCCAAGAAAACAAGTAAAGCGAGTCCAGATGATCGTTTCGGCAATACCTAGGTATATGTCATATTTGCTACCATAAAAATCTTGATTTAACAATCGCTTTTATAATATGTCGATACACATTTTATTACCTCTAGTGTTGAAATATTACAATAATTCTTTTGTTTCGACGTGCAAAGCTACTAGCAAATTTGCATGTTTTAATTTCAAATTTCAAATTTCAAAGGTGCTGCGGGGATAGTAAATATTATCCGATTGGACAGAAATTTTTTGTACTTTCATTTGGTATGGTTTTACAACTTTTTCGCACCCTTCCATCATCCAAAACATTAAAAAATGAATTTTCGATACACTCCATATATATACACGGAAAGAAAAAGTCTAAAGAATATTTTAATATATTATAGAAAAGTTGGACAAGATGGACATTTTATAATATTTATTTGATTTCTTGAAAATTATTTCAAGATGTCTAAGAAACTTTATGTTGCGTATGATAAAACGTTTAAAATGTATTAAAAAAATTATAAATATTCTCATATAATAGGAAAAATGTTTTTAACTGTCGTAAAATTATTATTATATTTTATGAAACTATCAATATACAGAAGTAAAATTATTTTAATACTTATAAGAAAGATGAGTTCAGATGTGTATTCCAGACAAGTTTAAAAAAATTATTATACTGTATGAAATATTTTGAAGAATCGCGTATGCGTCAGTTGCGCAGTACTCTGCTGCGCATATATTTCCACAGTGTGAATGTCCACTGGACCACCTGCAGCGTGCGTTGCGTAGCTAGTTGGTTGGGGTTGCGTTCTATTAATATTAGGGTTGTGCGTTCGATTCCGGTCGTTAGTAGACTTTCTGTTAGGTAGGCTATCATTGAGTATAAATAAATGTTTAGAGTTTATAGTGTATGAATTCTGGGTGCAACATCAAGATACGTGGTGCTTTAAGAAAATTTAAAAACTAAAAGGTAAACTATATAAATTTTTTTAAAATAAATTTTCTGTATGACAGAAGTCATTATACATTTCATTGTCAGCTTTAATATTTATATACAGTATAGTAATTTACTTTATATTGATTCAACATATTTACTATATTGTATTAAGAATGTTTCAATGAAAATATAAAGATTAAATATTTCATAGAAAGGCTTTGTACTTTAAGACAGTATTGTAATTTATTTCACATTGATCCAAATTTTGTTCATATTTGTCTTTATTTTCTTTAAACTTTATTGTTATTGTTATGAATATTAATTTGAGATACAGTATTAAAACATTTTTAAAAAGTGACTCTTGTCCAATTTTTTAATACAAACATTAAAATATTCTTTAGACTTTTTCTTTCCGTGTACAGTCAGACGGTCGGAAAAATGCAGTTTTTCGGGGTTTTTTTTAAAAGGAATATTTGTTTATTAAAGCGAAAGTTTCCCTATAATGTTTTACATCTTTTAAAGTTTAAAAAAAATATTTTATTTGTAAAAATATTTTTTTTGGCCTCTGTAGCTTATCTTCCAAAGATACTCGAAAAAAAGTGTCCCACGGTGAACAAGATAACAATTGATAGAATCATCTGAGATCAAAAAGTTAAATAGATTCTGTTAGTGTATGAAAAAATGTATTCTTTGATCAAAGGAATTAAAAAAATATCACTTTTTGACAAAATAGCAGCCAAAAAAAAGTTCATTTTTATTAAAAAAAATTGTCTTCAAATGTTGATTAACATTAAAATTTTAATTTTATTTAAAAAACCTACGATCAAGGACAAGCAAAAAGTAGTTGTTGAGTTTGTGTGAAAATTAGAGCTAAATTGGTTAAGCGGTTTTTGAGAAATCGTGTTCACTGACTTGAAAAACATATGTAGTTTTGATAAAAGCGAGTTTAAAGTTTCACAAACAGTTTACATTGAGTTAAATTTTTTTTTAAACTTACATTGAATCATCCATTCAAGCACCATATATTGAGTCTTCCACTCCTGTTGCAGCTTTCAGAAAATGCAAAAAAATCGATTTTTTGAAAATCGTGACTGTATATAACCCCTTAACGTAACTGCTCATATGGACGGCATTAATACGTTACGGCACTTATATGAATATCCTTGAACTGTAAGTCAACATTGCTCTTAAAATTGAACTAAATTTTGAGGGAAGAGCAGATGGAGATTTTCATCAAGTTTTGAGAAAAGAAAAATCTACAGGTCAAGCATTGACATGTAGGTTAAACAATCTTGAAACAGCGGTGGCGTTGCGTTGGCGCATGAACCTAAATTAAATAGTAGGGGAGAGTTGTCAGGGTTGGTCAGTGGTTAGGGTTCAGACACTGAGTTTATTTCGTTTCATCACACTAGCGCCATCTATCTTTGCACGTAAATTCTTGCTACTAATTTCAGCCATCTTTTCATATGAGTCGCAGTGAAGTATAGGAACTATACTAGAGTATTGTGCGACTCAGTGATTT